TATAATCATAATTATCCATTTTATACTCTGTACTCCTTTCTCTCTCTTCTTTGGTCATAAATCCTTCTCTTATCCATAAATTTACAGGTAAAATAGATTTTTCATGCTTTCATAATTTGCTTATGATATCACTCTTTATGTCTAAATCATGTACTCATTTTGACCTTATCTTGGTATATGGTGTGAGAGGTTGGTTTAAAACCTAGTTTCTGATAAACTGCTTTCCAGTTTTCCCAGCAATTTTTGTCAAGTAGTGAGTTCTTGTCCCAAAAGCTTGGATCTTTGGGTTTATCATAACTAGATTATGATGGCATTTTCCTACTGACAATTGTGTGCCCAATCCATTCCAATGATCATTTCTATTTTACCCTCTGGTTCTAGGATATCAGGACAGTTTTCTATGACAATGTCTTGAAATATAATTTCTAGGCTTTTTCTTTGATCATGTCTTTCAGGTATTCCAAAAACTGTTAAATTACCTCTCCTCAATCAATTTTCTATCTATTTTCCAGATCAGTTGTTTTTTCCAATAATATATTTTACATTTTCTTTTTCTTTTTTCATTTTTTGCCTTGTCTTATTGATTCTTGATGTCTCATGGGGTCATTCACTTCCACTTGCCCAATTTTAATTTTTAAGGAATTATTTTCTTCAGTGAGCTTTTGCACCTCTTTTTCCATTTGACAAATTCTGCTTTTTAAGGAGTTCCCTTCAGCAGTGGATTTTTTTTTTTGCCTCTTTTACCATTTGGCCAAGTCTATTTCTAAGATGTTTTCTTCAGTAGATTTTTTTTTGTTTGCCTCTTTTACCAAGCTGTTGACTCTCTTTTCATAATTTTCTTGCATCATTCTCATTTCTCTTCCCAATTTTAAATCAATTCCTCTAAACTGATTTTTAAAATCCTTTTGTATCTATTCCCAGGAATTCTTGTTCAGCTTGTGTCCAATTCATATTTTTCTTTGAGGCTTTGCCTGTAGTTGTTTTGACATTATTTTCTTCTGAGCTTGTGTCTTACTCTTCCCTGTCACCATAATAACTTTGTTATTGTCACAGTGTTTTTGTTTTTATTTGCTCATTTTCCAGCTTATATCTTGACTTTTAACAACATGTTAAAATTGAACCCTGCTGCTGAGGTTGAGGGGACACTGTCCCAAGCTTCAGGTTTTTCATGCTGCTGTCTTCAGAGCTAGTTCTAGGGGTCTATAAGTTTTTGGTGTTTCCAAGGTGGTATGATCTAAGGTGAGGTGTGGTCACTGCTCTTCTGGCCTGTGCTCTGATGAGGAAGGGACTTTTTTTCTCTGCAGCCACAAGTACTAGTGCTGCGCTTAGCTCTTAAACTTGTGACCAGGTCCCCTGCTCTTTTATAGCCACAAGCACTAGCACTCCTTTCTGCCTTGAAACTGAGACCATGGCCTCTACATCCCTGTTAGCAAGCACAAGCACTCTTCCTCCCCCAGGAACTGTGAGCAGGGACCCTATTCCTCTATGGCCACAAGTGCTAGTGCTTCTCTTTGCCTTGGAACTACAACCCCGAACTGCATGTTGATGATTTCAACAGGGTCCTCAACCCAGTGCTAGCAAGGAGTGCATTGTAATCTCTTTTTAACCAGTTGACTCCCTTAACATCTGTGGGTAGAGAGCTCCTGAAACTGCTGCCACTGTTTCAGTGTCCTCCAAAGCCTGCAGCTGATGCTGCCTCTGTGTGCACTATACTCTGGGGCAATCTTTACCCCAGTATCATAGACTCTCCCTCCTGACCTCCTAAGGAGTCTTAGCCTGGAAAAATCTCTCATCCTGACCTTTCGTTCCTCTGCCACTCTGGAATTGATCTGAGGCATTATTTTAAAGACATTCGGAAGGGAATGTTGGGTGAATTCAGCTGAGTTGCTGCCTGTACTCCACCATTTGGGGCCACTGAAGGTAAGGCTTTTTGGTGGGAGAAACCATTTAAATTGTCTTTTTATGCCCAGTGTTTTGCAGATAATAAGCACTTAATAAATGTCTGTTGCACTGAATTGGAAAAAAAAACCTTCTTGTTGCTTTCTCCACAATTCCTCTCTAATCTGTCCCCTTCTCTTTTGTCACATAACCACCACTCTGGTTGAAACCGGGAGTACCTCTAACCAGGTTCATTGCAATAGCCTTCCATTTAGTCCTATTGCCTTAAGATTCTTAACATTCAATTCCACCTTCCACCCACAAACCAAGGTGATTTTACTAAAATAGGAGTCTGACCAGGTCACTTCACTTTTCAATAAACTCTCTTAGTTCCCTATTACCTATAGGAACACATATTAAAAATTCTGTTTAGCATTTAAAGCCCTTTGATGCAACCAATATTAGAAGGAAAGTAGAAATCTGGGATATAATTTTTATAGCCAGTATTTCTGATAAAGTCTTCATTTCTCAAATATATAGAGAACTGAGTCAAATTTATAAGAATACAAGTCACTCCCCAATTGATAGTCAAAGGACATGAACAAGAGTTTTCAGATGAAGAAATTAAAGCCATCTATAGCCATATGAAAAAATGCTCTAAATCACAATTAATTAGAGCAATGCAAATTAAAACAACTCTGAAGTACCACCCCATACCTATCAGATTAACTAATATGATGAAAAAGGAAAATGATCAATGTTGGAGAGGATGTGGGAAAATTCAGATACTAATGCATTGTTGGTGGAGTTGTGAACTGATTCAACCATTCTGGAGAGCAATTTGGAATTGTGCCCAAAGTGCTATAAAAAGTCTGTATCCCAAAGAGATCACAAAAAGGGGAAAAGAGCCCACTTGCACAAAAATACTTACAGCAGCTCTTTTTGTGGTGGCAAACAATTGGAAATTGAGGGGATGCCCATCAATGGGGGAATGACTGAACAAGTTATGATACATGAATGTAATGAAATACTATTTTATTATTGATGAGCAGATGGATTTCAAAAAAAACCTGGAAAGATTTACATGAACAGATGCTGAACAAAGTGAGCAGAAGAAGGAGAAACATCATTGCACAAACAGCAACATTGTACAATGATCAATTATAATAGATTTAGCTCTTCTCAGCAATACAATGACCCAAGACAATTCCAAAAGACCCATGATGGAAAATATTATCCGCATCCAGATTATGGTGTCTGAACGCAGATCAAAGCATACTATTTTCATTTTTTGTTTTTTTTTCTTTTCTTTCTTGTTTTTCCCTTTTGTTCTCCTTCTTTTACAACATGACTAATGTGGAAATATAATTAATATGATTGTACATGTATAACATATCAGATTGTGTGCTGTCTTGGGGAGGAGGGGGAAGGGAGAAAAATTTGGAACTCAAAATTTTATAAAAGCGAATGTTGAAAACAATCTTTAAATGTAATTAGAAAAAAAATGCCATTTAGTGGGGGGTGGGATAAAGCCCTTTGAGATTTGTACCCAGACTACCTTTCCAATCTTATTACAATTATTCCCATTCTTGAACACAAAAGTACTTCCAGGCTGGCCCTCTCCCATCTCTATGTCTTTACATACTGATTGTCCTCCATGCCAGGAATCTACTCCCTTCTCATTCTCCTTCCTAGAATCTCTAATTTCTTTCAAGGTTCAGCTGAAGTGCTATCTTTGACATGAAGCCTCTTTTAATTCCCTCAGCTTCTAGTGTCTGTGTCCCACTCCCAATTATCTTGTATGAATTTTGAATATGCTTATTTACATACATGTTTTCTTCTTGGACAAATTATAATCTTTTAGTAAGGGGCTATTTCATTTTTTTTTAAAAAACAGGGCATGGCACACAGTAGGCGCTTAATAAATTCTTTATTTTTAAATATCTTTAATTTTAATTTGACCTAACAATATCACTACTAGACATATATTGCAAAGAGGACAAAGAAAGGGAAAGGACCCAAACGTACAAAAATATGTATAGCAATACTTTCTGTAGCAGTAAAGAACTGGAAAAAAGGCTAAAAAAAACCCAGTGATATGTGAAATTGAATATTGCAGTGTAAAAAATGATAAACGAAAGAATTTAGAGAACTTTGAGAAAACTTGTATGAATGGATATGAAGTGAAATAGCAAGAACCAGGAGAGAACAATTTACCTAATGACCACAATAACATGAAGGACAACTTTGAAAGACTTCAGAACTCTGAACACTGTAACCAAACATGACTTCAGAAGGTTGATGGTGGAACATGCCCCCTGCCTCTAGGCTGAGAATTGGCACACTAGAGATATGGAATGTGACTTTTATTTTCAAATATGGCCGTTGGATTTATTTGGTTAACTTGACTATATTTTTAAAAAGGAGGACTTCAATGGGGGAGATTAGTTAGAGGGAAGCGATAGAGATAGGTGAAAGAATAGAAGGCAGAAAGGAGAATACATCAATAAAACATAAAAGAAAATATACTAAAGAGAGATTTAGAAGAGAATACAAACCAATGAAGTAATTTTGTTATTACTTTGTTAAATTTAGCATACACTTTCAAAAATAAACTATACTGGGGCAGCCAGGTGGCTCAGTGGATAGAGCACTGGTCCTGGATTCAGGACGACCTGAGTTCAGACTCAAACACATAACACTTACTAGCTGTGTGACCCTGGGCAAGTCACTTAACCCCACTGCCTAACCAAAAAAAAAACTACACAAAAAATTCATAGATTCATACATTATCCACTTTTTTGTGCTCTGTATATTGGAATGTTTGTGTTTTGTTGAAAATTGCTAAGTTAATAATAGAGAAGAAAATATAATTAAAGAAACACAAACATGGAGGGCCTTGAAGGTTAAATTAAGAAGTCTGGATTTTATTTGGTAGGAAAATGGGAACCACTGAAGGTTTTAGAGCAAGGAGAGACATGAGCAAAAGAGTATTTTGGAGTTGACCTTGGGACCCTCAGCTAGGGCTTCCATTAGAAATTGGTCTCTTCCCTCTTCTTCATCAGCCCAATGGATCTTGTAGTTCCCTCTTCCCCAATGGACTCTACATCCCCCAGATTTACCTTGATGGCAGCTGTTGCTATCTGGATGTGGTGGAGACGACGGAGTGTGCTTTCTCTGTCAATGAAGTAGGAGGCTGCCAGCTGGTGTAGGGTCTCCAGGGACACAGCTGAACTGTTCCCACTTCTCCCAGTCCCAGTAGCTTCACTTGCATCTGTTTTCCGGCTCAGTTTCCTCTTGTCCACAAAAATAGTCAATGACTCTTCACCTGCATAAACAACCACAGCCTATTGGTATGATCTTCCTCCCCTTCCTTATTCCATGTATGAGTAAAAACACACACCCTACCTGTTCTGCACAATCTGAACTGGATAAGGTCCTGTTGTTATGACCTACCATCAATCCTCAATCAGAATCTGCTGATAGGATGATAAGGGGTGCCACATTTAGCATTCAGGAATTAGCAGATCACTCTTAGCTAGGTGGAGTTGCCATACAGACAAAACCTGAGTGAAGAGGAATTTATCAAGAAAGCCACCTTCCTTTTACTCCTTCTCCCACCCCATAATGGAAATGTTAGATTCAAAGCCAGTTTACCTTGTTCAGGGGTCCCTTGGCCCTTAAGATGATTGTAGGTATAATGAAATGCCAAAGAATATCCTGATAATTTATCCTAGCTAAAAGTTGCCCGAGTCCAAAAGGATGTTCTCTCTCACTTTATTTCACCATCTTCCATAGTGCTTAAGATAAACTATTAACTTGGGCAAGGTACTGGTACTTGAGGATCTCTCCGTGTCTCAGTTCTGACATCTAATATAACTAGAGAGCTGGTCCAAACCAACTTCTTTAAGGTCCACTCTAACAAAATTTATCATCCATTTTAGATCCTGGTCGCTATTATCTTTTGATCCCCAGGCCATTCTACTGCCTTTTTAAAAATTTATTTAGTATTTTGTTTTTTCCCCAGTTATGCATAAAGACAATTTTTAACATTTGTTTTTTTAAACCTGGAGTTCCAAATTCTCTCTCTTCCTCCCTCCTGACCCTACCTGATTGAGAAGGCAAACAATTCGATATAGGTTATACATGTGTAGTCATGCAAAACATTTCTATTTTAGTCATGTTGAGAAAGAAAACAGAGACAAAAAAAATCTCAAGAAAATTTTTAAAAAGTATGCTTCAATCTGTGTTCATACACCATCAGTTCTTTCTCTGGGGATGGATAGCATTTTTCATCATAAGTCTTTCAGAGCTGTCTTGCATCATTGTATTGCTGAGAATAGCTAAGTCATTCACAGCTGATCATCTTACAATGTTCCTCTTTGTACACACTACTGCCTTTCTTAAGGAACTTTGCACCCAGTTCACAATCTTCTTCTTTATGTAAGATTTACCCTTATATCAAGGGACTTCAACATAGAACACCCTAACCTCCCAGGTCCTCAATCTACTTGGTTCCCATGACCTACTACTCTGCTTTCCCTGAGATACGTATGGGAATGGTCACGTCTTTGATCTTCCCATCACCAACAAGCTTCCCCTACCATGATGAATAACTGTGACATCCCATTATCCAGTCAACATCTCCTATCATTTCATTTCTGTCTGTTTCCTTATCTGGAAAATGGGGATAATAATCCTCCCAGAGTTGGTTTGAGGACAAAATGAATTAATATCTGTAAATCACTCTGCAAACCTTAAGGCCCCACATCAGCAGTAGCTGCTGTTGTCATCATCGTCATTGTCATCATCTCTTCCATGCCTAATTTTCATCCTCATTATGAACTCCAGTGTCTCTACCCTTCAGTCACTCAATACTTGAGGACTCTCCCAGGCATTTGCTCCGATTATACTTTTTCCCTTCTCAATTTCACTCTTTTTAATGAATTCACCAGTTCTACTCTACTGTTCTCTTTTCTAAAAATTCTTTTGTTCTCTTATATTATTACTGCTCACACCTCATCCAACCCCAACCCTAGATTAATCTTACCTATCCTCTGACTAGAGTGGAAGCTTTTTGAGGACAAAGATTGCACCATGTTTGCCTTTGCTTCTTCATCACCTGGCAAGCAGTGCCTGGCATGTAACAGGTGTGTAATAAATGCTTGCTGATTTTCTGATTGATTCATTTCTAGGATTCTTTCCAGCTCCAGCAATGCATGAATCTATGCACCAGGCAGGTCCAGGTAATGTTCTCAACATCCTGCCTTAGTGATGTATCTAATTCATTGAGTTTTCTCCCTAGGCATAGAGAATTTTAGCTCCCTTCGTTTGGTTTTCTGACTTTAACTTCCCAAGAGCGCATTCTCAGGGTATCATTTGTAGGACTTCAAGTGATACCTTTACAGTCCCAGGTGAGACAGGAGCTTTGTCTTTGGGCATTCAAGTGAGGTGTCTATATATTTCCCCCAGGATGCTTCCTTCTCCCATAGGAAGCCTCTGAACTCAGAAGTTTTAATATTTTGACCCCAAATGCATCCATCATGTAGAGACAAGACTGGATTCCTTGGGGAGCCCTTTCCTGAGTTTTCAGCCAGAAAGCCCAAGGCAATAACAAATGTTCTCTTTCTTTCTGGGGGAGGTATGGATGCCACCTCTGTTGGGATCCTAGCTTTCCCCATTAGGGAAAAGGGAGATCCCAGGGCCCCAGGTGCCTGAGGGACATAAGGATCTGATTGCCATTCCTTACTAAGCCTGATGCTGCAAACACAACAAAGGATTGCTTTCTCTGTTGCTAGGAAATAATCCAAACCTGCAGAAAGTAGGAGACAAGGGACTGACAGGCCATCCTTACAAAACTCACCTGAGAGAAAAATGTCAGCTCCCCCGCTGACAGAGACCTTAGAGTAATTTAGAACAAAGGTTCTTTATTATTATTATCATTATTCATTATTATTATATTTACATCATGGACCCTTTTGTTAGCCTATGGTCCCCTTATCAAAAAAATATGGTTAAATGCATAAAATAAAATGCATTTTTTTTATAAAGGAAGATAATACAAATACAAATAAAATTATGTTGAAATAAAAACATTTTTTAAAAAGTTAAAGAAAAGGAAGGAGACAAGCATTTATAAAGTGCCTACTATGTGCCAAGAGCTTTACAAATATTATCTCATTTGATCCTTACAACAACCCTGGGAGGCAGGTGCTATTATTATCTACAGGGTACATACTAAGCCAGAGGTTAAATGACCTACCCAGGGTCATACAACCAGGAAGTGTCTAACTATACCACCCCCCAGGTTAAGAAGCCCTGATTTCAAATTTCACTAGTCTTGATCCTTACCGACCTATCATCTGCTCCCTCTGCCTCTTCTATTTTCTTAGCATATGTCTCTCAAAAATCCTAATACACATATAAATGTTCTCCCAAGGTGATCTTGCACTCACATTTTTTTTCCCCAAGAGAAATTGGAAAATCTTCTCTGATTCAGTGTGAGTTAATTCACTCTATATTTTCAAGAAGGAAAAAGACCCTTTAAACTATGACCTGGAAATCAGTCAGTGAGACTACTTACTCACCTCCCAGAGTTGCAGAGAGTAAGAAATGAGTGCCGTACTTTTTGATGAGGTTTTCTGTAATCTGCTGCAGGCTGGGCCTCCGTCCCAGGAGGCGGATATTCCGGATGAATTCTGGGGCGAGGGGTAATGGCAAGCTGAAAAAGTCTTTCTTTCCAGAGCCAAGTTATTCACCTTCCATCGGGCAAACTCTCTGGAGGAAGTTTTAAAGGGAACAAGTAGTGAGTTCAAGTTAAGAAAGAAGATGAGGCAGAGTACCAATCAACAAGATTCTAAAGTCAAAAACATTTGTCTTCAGCATCCTTCCCTTCCTTCTGCCTTTCAGAACCCCTCTCCCAGACCCAGACACCCACGGCCCCTTCTGACAGTGCCAGTGATTCCCTTTCCTTTTCTAATGTCATTAAAAGCTGTTTTTAGGGGCAGCTAGGTGGCGCAGTGGATAGAGCACCAGCCCTGAAGTCAGGAGGACCTGATTCCAAATGTGGCCTCAGACCAAACACTTGACATTTACTAGCTGTGTGACCCTGGGCAAGTCACTTAACCCCTACTGCCTAAAAGAGAGAGAGAGAGAGAGAGAGAGAGAGAGAGAGAGAGAGAGAGAGAGAGAGAGAGAGAGAGAGAGAGAGAGAGAAAGAGAGAAAGAAAAGCTATTCTTAGGGACTTCCCGGGAGTGGAGTCAAGATGGTCAAGATGGCAGAGTAAAGAAAACTCTCAGCTGACCTCTTCCAACATTCCCCCTCTCCCCAAACAACTTTAAAATAACACCTGAAATCGAATTCTGGAGTGGTAGAACCAACAAAAGGTCAGAGTGAGACATGCTTAAAGCCCAAGACAACACAGGAGGTTGGAAGGAGAGATTTGTGACAGGGTAGAAGAGGTTGTTGACCCAGTACCCATGCGGATGAAACACCAGTGGTGGGACTAGGTGGTGGTGAGAGAAATAGCAGCAGCTTTGGGCTCTCTCAAGCCAGAGATGGTAAGGGACCTGACAACTTGTAGAAAGAGACTACAAGGAACTCCTGTGCTAACACCAGATAGAATACTAAATGACAAGCAAGATTGATTTCAGAAAAACCTGGGAAGAATTATATGAACTGATTCAAAGTGAAGTGAGCAGAACCAGGAGAACAGTATACACAGTAGCAACAATACTGTATGATGATCGACTATGAATGACTTAGCTATTCTCAGCAATACATCGATCTAAGACAATTATGAAGCACTTATGATGAAAAATGCCATTCCCCTCCAGATAGAGAACTGATGAACTCCAAATGCAAATAGAAGTATACTTTTTCTTTACTTTACGTGTGTTGTTTTATTTTGTTTGTGTTTTCTTTTGTAACATGGCTAATAATGGAAATATGGAATATTGGAAATGTGCTCTGCATGACTTCACATGTATAATCAATATCATATTGTTTGTCTTCTCAAGGAGGGGGAAAGGGTGGGGAGAGGGAAAGAATTTGAAAGTCAAATTTTGTTAAGAATGACTGTTAAAAATTTACATGTAATTGGGAAATATTCAATACATATTTTTTAAAAAGCTATTCTTACCTAGATGTTGCATGAGAAAGGATCATCTATTACAGATTCATACTAAAATCTAAGTGACTGATGCACTTAATGTGCTATCTCTTACCAGACATATTTTTACTTTAACAGATGATAATGACATAATCGAAAGACTTGAAACCCCTAGAATTTCAAACATCAGCTTAAAAATCAGCTATTGAGGTATTTCTGGTGAGGGGTAAGTAGATTCATCTACCCCTAAGGCCAGTCTTAACAAAAAAAGACCATAGTTTGGTGTTCTCTTTATCTATCTCCCCCATTCCCATTCTTCCTGTCCTTATAGGGCTAGAGCACATGGGATATGCCTTGAGAGACAATGGATTATTAACAGGGACCCAGAAATCAGCCCCCTATGCATGGAATGCTCTCCTTCCTCTACTCTTGGCTTTCTTTAAGTCCCAATTAAAACCTCCCCTTCTACAGGGAGTCTTCCGTATCATCTCTTAATTTCACTGCTTTCCTTCTGTTAATTATTTTCTACTTATCCTGAACACAGCTTGTTTTGTATATGTTTGTTTGCATGTTGTCTCCCATTAGATTGTAAGCTCCTTGAGGGCAAAAACTATCTTTTACTTTTTTTTTATATCCCCAGTGCTTAGCATAGGACACATAGTGGGTACTTAGTAAACGTTTATTGTATTGTATTTAACTGTATTGTAGTTGGTTTACTAGCCAACATATTTTCAGGTGAGATGGGGACTCCACCTCTCGAGGAGTGATTCTCTCTGTTAGGGAAAAGTCACTTTCCAAAGCCTCAAGGATGTAATGAGCATAGGAATCCTGTTATTCATCTTCCAACAGGAGAACTCTCTAAGGGGAAAAAAAAGTATCCACAAAATCCATCCTACTTCTTTGCTTACCACCTGTGTGACCTTGAAGATCACATCATCTTCCTGTACCTTAGTTTCCTCATGTATAAAATGAGAGGATTGGACTATGAGGCTTTTCAGATTCCCTTCAGTAACCATATATGTGATCCCATGATCTAAGGAGCTAAGCTAGTAGTGTGTTGGTGAAAGAGAAGCAAGCCAACTGCCACCATTTTAGGTTCTGGAATTCTCTCTGCCTAATTCTGGAGATCTAAGATTGAAAGGAGGGGCACATGCTGCATGTTGCCAGGCAAAACAAGGGAAAAATGGATGGAATAATAATGTGTGACTCCAATGGAAATCTTTTGCTATTCCCACTGTGTGGCTTTATTTATCTAAGCAGGAAAGTTCATAATAATATATTATCAGTTCCTTCCTTTGTGTAGGAAATGCTAAACTTTAATTAAACTACAGAATGTTTGTCAAAAGAGCTTTCTCTCAAATCACTTCACAGAGCAAAGAGTGGCTGGTGTTTTGTCCTAGGTGGCTCAGTGAGAGAGAGGATTCTCTCAGTTCCTGGAGTTGTATTACAATGGTCAGAATTACAGAACTCTGTGACCAGATAATACTAGGATGGCCACCCAACCAAGCCCTCTTAATCCAGGAATGATTACCCTGAACCCATCATGGACTGAATTACCATTTTATTCTATGCCAATCAAAGAGGTGGATTTCCTTCACCTACCCAATTATGGTAATGAATGTCCCGCTCTCCTCTTGTACAGATATTCTCCCATTTTAATAAAACTCAACATCATAGAAATAACTAGCAATCATGGGGCCTGGGGCAGGTAATATGGAGTGCCCCTAGGACGAACAGCAGGAAAGGGACTCTCAAACCAATTTTATAATTCAGGAAGTGAAAATAATACAAGAAGTAATTAAGGCAAATTCAATTTGAGGTGGAGAATTATTTACCAGGGTAGCTTTTACGTAGCTGAAAGACTGTGTTAAATTTTTATTCTCTCTAAATTTCAATGTCCTAGGGCAAAGCTACCATTGTTAAAGTTCCATCCAGTGTATGAAAATCTAACATTATTCTAATTATTAAAAAAAAGCAACTTTAATTTACAAAAGGATTTGCCTCCTGAAAATAGTACCTCACCAACCAACGCCATTTAAGTGGCTATTTACAAATCATTCACTACTTGACAGGGAGGCTGACCAGGAACAATCACAGAAATGAAATAGCCATGACTAATTGAAGATCAAACAGAAGTAAAGACAATTCATCCCTGAAATTATCATTTTAAGTCCATGGAAAAATGAGATGTGATATATAAAATTTTACTTTTTATTTTTAACTATTCAAGGATACATCACTGATATAAAATAAGATATATTTAACTGTATACAATCTGGATCCCTGCCCTAGCATGACTATATTTTATAAGAAAATCTACAAATGAACAAGCATTTATTAAGTACCTACATTATGCTAGGTGCTAAGAAAATAAAGACAAAAGTGAAACAGTGCCTGCCCTCAAAGAGATTACAGTTTATAGGAGAAGAAAACATGTATGCATACAAAGAACACACATAAAAGATACAAAGCAACCCACAGGGTAGGGAGACACTAACAGCTGGGGGAAGCAGGAAAGGACTTAGGTAGGGGGACCTGTTTGAGCCGAGGCTTGAAGACCAGAGATGCCAAGAGGCAGAGATGAAGAGGGACAGCATGCCAGGCATGAGGGACAGCCAGTGCAAAGGGCACAATAGATAGAGTTCTAAGTGAAAAACAGTAAATAGGCCAGTATAGCTGGACCACAGTGGGTATGGAAGGGAGTTTTGTGTAATGAGGCTGGCAAAAGTAGGATGGAGACAGGATGTGAGGAGCTTTAAATGACAAAGGAGTTTTTATTTGGTCCAAAGGTGATAAGGAGGCACTGGTGTTTATTGAGTAGGGCAGTGATGTAGTCAGACCTGGGTTTTAGGAAAACCACTCTGGAGGTTGGGTGGAGGATGAATCGGAGTCAGGAGATATCTGATTCACGAAGAACAATTAGGATGTTATTTTAAGGGCCTCATGATGGGGATCTGAACTAGAACTGTGTGAGCAGAAAGCAGGGAATATATTTGAGAAACATGGAGATAGAAATGACAAAAATTGGCAACTGACTTGAATGAGTGGGGTAAGAGAGAATGAGAAGTTGTGTGTCTCACCTCTGCATTTGCTGCCCCAGTGCTTGGAATGTTCTGTCTTCTTACATCCCCCTCAGGGAATCCTTCTCTTCCTTCAAGAGGAAGCTTAAGTACCACCTTCTGATTCCTACAATCTCTACTATCACCCCTAACTACACTGTATTAAACTTTTCGGGATTCATCCATATTTATCATCTACTTATTTTATAAATGTACTTGGGGTCTCTCCCCACAATAGAATGCAAGTTCCTCGAGAATAGGGATTGCTTTATTCTTTGAATTTGTAACTCCATGCCTTGCTCAGTATCTGGTACAGAGTAGGTGCTTAATAAATGCATGTTGCCTGTCTGATTGACTGATACCAAAGTTGTGAGCCTGTAAAGTTGGAAAAATGGCAGTGGCCTCAATAGTAATGAGAAAGTTAGAAAAAGGATTAGATTTGGGGGGGGTGTAAAAGATAATAAGCTTTGTTTTAGACATGTTAATTTTCAGATGGCTTTGGAACATCCAATCCAAACAGACAATAGATATTTGTGATATGGAACTAGAGCTCAAGAGACTCCGATATTCTCTCAGATTCAGATATAGTCAGTATAGTCAGTATCGA